ATTCCTTGGATAGGTCGTTCTCAGTTCTGTTTTCACCTATTTGTGCTTGCGGGGGTTGAGCTCTGGCTCTTTAGTCCCGCCAATCAACTGTCAATCAATCTGTGCTGAACAAGCTGGGGCACTAGACCTTGACGCCAAGATCAGCCAATATTCTTGTGTTTATTCGTTGGATAAAAACTATTTAAGAATAGATTGTATTCTAATGTTCTCCCTTGAATTAAAAAAAATACACATTTTCTTATTATTTGTAATAGGTATTATCATTCTCTTTATTTTTCAGGTTTCAAGAGGTTTGATAAACGTGAAAATGCACTCCCAACGATGCCCAGTGGCAAAGCTTCGAGCAGCAAGCCAGCAGAGACCAGAAGTCTCCAGTCAGGTCAACAAACACAAAACCACCAAGATCAGTCTTCTGCCTTCGGTGTTCAAGCGAGTCACAGGGAGGAAAAAGGAAAGGTTGCGCAGAGGTACACGAAGTCAGTCTGCCAGGGACCAAGAGAGGACTTCGTTCTCCCAGAGGCTGTACGGAGATGCAGCCCCCCGCCTCCCTCCTCGACCTCAGATGTACAGTGACGACTCCTGGCGGCCCAGTCACCTCATCTCGGTGTCTCCGGTCACTCACCAAGTGTACTACAACGAAGCTGCCCACAAGATGTTTAAGAAAAGGTCTGGGGACGACGCTCTTATTTACAATGAGAACTGCGCCGTTCACGGCCGCAATAGTTCTCGTCTCTTCGGCATGTCGAAGAGTACGAGTTGTCCAGTTGCGGCCAAACCGCAGCCAAGCCAGAGCGTCAGCGGGGAGCGGCTGAAGAACTGGCGCCGCAACTCCTTCACCTTTACCGCAACAAAAAGGGTGCAAAGTGGCGCGACCGCTGAGGGACACACAGAAACTGTCCATCGATCTGTATCCTTAGGGAACGATTTACAAAGTTTCCCGTCGACATCGAACCAGAAAAGTAAACCACGAAAATCAACTTCGATGAGCTCAAGCCTTTCTTCTGCCGCCCGTTCGTCGGCTTCTCTTGCTAGAAGCAACACGTCTTCAGACGACGCAGATAATCGGCGATGGCAATTCCGGCGCGCATGGTCCTTCTTCTCCGCAGGCTGCGACGAGCGCAGGAAGGGCAAACCGCCGCCTCAGAAGATCCTGCGGCAGCCAACGCGCCATGTGTACCGGCGTGGCATATCTGGCTTGCCTGTAGAGTGCACGAACAGAAGCCTGGGCGTCGCTTTTTGACATTTCGTGTGACAATACTCGAATAGAAAACTCAAGAGAGAAAGTCCTAGCACGCGGGAAGCGTGTAAATGCGTTGCTGATTAAGGGATTGAAATACGAACCAATCACTGTAACTCTCCTGTGATATGTGCAAAACCCTAATTACAATTTGGCTAATATTTTCAACGAGCAACTTTATCTCGTTGTCCTTGGTAGTCACATCATGGTTCAGTTGGTAGTGCGTGTTCCTGGGAAGTCCAAGGATGTGGGTTCGATCCCAATGTATACTAGTGTTGAAGGGATAGTATTATTACGATCTCACCTAGCCAAGGCCGAGGCTTTCTGGGCGGTCACCTATCCAAGTACTAGCCTGATTCAATTTTCTTAAACCTGATTAGTCAAGTGAGACTAGCATCATGCATTGGACCCTTAGGATGGCCCAGTGAATGATATATTAAAGTTTTTAAAGTTTGTTAGAGTGTTTTAGAGTAGGAAGAAGTATTTTAAACTATGTTTACATTTTTAAAACATGTTAAAATGTTAAAGTATGTTAAAATATGATAAGATATGTTAACCTATTTTAAAGTATGTTAAACATTATACAAATGTTAAAGATTAAAATATATTCATGTAAATCAAAATTCATTAACTATATTACTTTTAATAGGAATTGTTTAGCTTGAAGTTGAAATTCTTTTCGACTGCTCATAAAACAGAGGAAAGTGCCCTGAAAGATATTATTAATAGGACCGTTATCCCCACAGACACAAATCAGAAGATACAATTGACAATTTACTACAAAACAAGAAAACGGTCAACCTACTCATGAAGAACTCTCCAGACACCAAACAGAACGCCTTGAAAGAAACCAACGTCGTCTATGCCTTCACATGCCCACTTGGGGACTGTCAGCCCCAAAGATCTCAGTATATAGGCAGGACAACAACGTCTCTTTCTTGGCGATTAACAATGCACAAACAACAGGACTCCATCGAAGAACATATAATCTCCTCTCACAACCAGACCATCACCAGAGAAATCTTAAAAAGCAACAGAAAAATCATCAATAGATACAGCAATAGCAGGAGACTCGACATCAGTGAGGCACTACACATCAAAAACTCAACACCTGCAAGCAACAGCCAATTAACACATAACTATATTCTACCCACTTCAAGACCCCGAACCAACATAGAAGCAAGAAGATAAAATACGCAATAATTCGTGTTCTGTCTTTGTAAAATTATCCTCACCCCCCATTATTACCCATTGATTCGTGTTTTATCACCTCACCCAAAACCATATATATATATATATATATATATATATATATATATATATATATATATATATATATATATATATATATATATATAACTGAAAAATCACACCCCAGAAGAGACTCGAACCCATACTACCAGAAGCACTCTGCAACTGATGTACAGGATCCCTTAACATCAGGGATGTTAAGGGATCCTGCACATCATTACACACACAGATCACACTAACGTGATGCATCAAATGAACAAATCCACAAGGGCCGTGACGAGGATTCGAACCTGCGTCCGGGAGCATCCCAGACACTGCCTTAATCGACTGAGTTGTGTAAAATCCTGGTTTGTGCCTCGTAGAGGCTGCGGGATCCAGTAACTTCAGTAGAATTTCGGTTTCAACTCTTTTAATCCTGTCGTTGCTCAGTCGATTAAGGCAGTGTCTGGGATGCTCCCGGACGCAGGTTCGAATCCTCGTCACGGCCCTTGACGATTTGTTCATCCTGTACATCAGTTGCAAAGTACTTCTGGCAGTATGGGTTCGAGTCACTTGTGGGGTGTGAGTTTTCAGTTGCATATATGCCTGGAGATCGTTCAGGCTTGTTCGCATTTATATATGTATATATATATATATATATATATATATATATATATATATATATATATATATATATATTATATATATATATATATATATGTCGTACCTAGTAGCCAGAACGCACTTCTCGGCCTACTATGCAAGGCCCGATTTGCCTAATAAGCCAAGTTTTCCTGAATTAATATATTTTCTCCAATTTTTTTCTTATGAAATGATAAAGCTACCCATTTCATTATATATGAGGTAAATTTTTTTTTTATTGGAGTTAAAATTAACGTAGATATATGACCAAACCTAACCAACCCTACCTAACCTAACCTAACCTATCTTTATAGGTTAGGTTAGGCTAGGTAGCCGAAAAAGTTAGGTTAGGTTAGGTTAGGTAGGTTAGGTAGTCGAAAAAACAATTAATTCATGAAAACTTGGCTTATAAGCAAATCGGGCCTTGCATAGTAGGCAGAGAAGTGCGTTCTGGCTACTAGGTACGACATATGTATATATATTATATATATATAAATATATATATATATATATATATATATATATATATATATATATATATATATATATTATATATATATATATATATATATATTGTACTTTTTACAGTTGTATATAATTATACATAGATTAGCTAATAATAAAATAATTAACATTACTATAAATACATCCTACGTATTAGGAATGAGCTATGATCGCATGTACAATATCAAACACGATGGAATATAAAGGTATTTAATAAATTCCTAATTTTCACAGAATACACTTTGTATATTAAATATATATATTCATTAATGTATTTTAATTATCCCAAATTGTTAATTTACTCTATCTCAGTAAGGAGTCTGGTGTCATCTTAAGTGTATTTATTGCTACTGACATGATCCGGGTTCGATTCCTGGGCAGGGTGTTACACCTGATGCTTCTGTTCATCTAGTAGTAAATAGGTACCCATGGGAGTTAGACAACAGTGGTGTGGGTTGCATCCTGGGGAATCTCCGTCTTCAAGGGCCACCTCGATAAGCCAGCCACTCAGAACACACTGTTACCGAGCGAGGCCTCATGCCGCACTCAGAACACCTCTTGAACCAAACTCTCAAGGAGCCAATATAATGACAACTGTTTCATCTTAACCTCAATGTGTGACTGTCAATTAGGTCATGGCGTTTGCCTTTCCATTGGAGACTTTCGGCGCCGTGGAGAGGGGGGGATCTGCTGCATGGGTAACAGCTTCACCACCTTAGGATAACAAGGATAAACTATTCAACACTGATGGTACGCGAACAAGGGGACACAGGTGGAAACTGAGTACCCACATGAGCCACAGAGACGTTAGAAGGAACTTTTTCAGTGTCAGAGTAGTTTACGGATGGAATGCATTAGGCAGTGATGTGGTGGAGGCTGACTCCATACACAGTTTCAAATGTAGATATGATAGAGCCCAGTAGGCTCAGGAATCTGTACACCAGTTGATTGACAGTTGAGAGGCGGGACCAAAGAGCCAAAGATCAACCCCCGCAAGCACAAATAGGTGAGTACAAATAGGTGAGTACACACACACACACACACGCACACACTCATATATATATATTCCCAGGATGCAGCCGTAGTAAATGTCTAACTCCAAGGTATACCTATTTACTGCTAGGTGAACAGATGGTCAGCTGAAAGACACTCCCCCCCCCCCCCCCGTTTGTTCTACCTGTCATCTTACCAGCTGCAATAAATGTCTAATTTTCTCTTTCTTTTTTGTTCCTTGGGTCATCTATATCTACAAAACAGAATATATGTGTGTTTGTCTGCCCGGCCGACACACCGTGCGTATTAGTGCCTTTGGTGTCCTTACATTCTTGCTCTGTTGTGTACTCTCGTCCTCGTGAGGACGAGGTACACAACAGAGGTACACAGAGGTACACAACAGAGGTACACAACAATGTAAGGTGTACTCTCGTCTCCTCAATGTACCTTCTTGTATATAATTTAATAAAATATGCTTATGGTTGGGAGGCCAGACGCTTGAGGACAACCTTATTTAACTTTGCAGGGTGACATGTGGGTGTTAGAGGACTGTTATCAGTGGGTCAAGGTCAGGTTTTCTTGAGGGGGGGGGAGGTTTCTTGAGGTGATTTCGGGGCATAGCGTCTCCGCGGCCCGGTCCTCGACCAGGCCTCCTTTTTGTTAGAGATCCCCAGGAAGAAGCCCGTAGGGTCCATTACCTTCCCCCTTTAAGTGGGATCCGCTCCCATGGCGACTCCCATGAAGTTGAGGGGACATTAAATAGTGGCCGCAGCGCCAATAGAGCGTCAGGATCTGCTCATAATATAACAGAATTCAGATATTGCGCTGCAAAAACGCATGTTCTGAAGCCAATGTTGCGCTCAAGAGGCGCTTAATGTAAACATCATTTTTACCTTCATTTTAACGAAATTTTACTTCGCTTTATTCTTCACATTACTATCGTTTAGTTGATCAATATATTTCCCCCTTATTTTCATCGGTTTCTTGCATTGTTTATTGGTCCATGTAACCATCGTTCTTTATTTTTTTCATCTTACCTTTTAATATTGCCTCGTTCTCTGACCATAATGAACCCCACAACAAAAGCGAGCAGCCCTTACCTCTTCCTGGGGCTTCATCAAGAAGACAATGCCATCATTAGTGCACAAAGGCTTCTTCTCGAGCCTCCCCCTTCCCCCCCTCCCCCCCCCCCGGGGCCAGGTACGCTAAATTAAACTCACCGAGTCCAGGAATTCCTATGGTTCATGGTTCCTGGAAGTCTGACGTCCGTGAAGCCTTAAGACTTTACCTACTTTATCAGTTCAGAGTCTTGTGTTGTAATGAGATCAGGAGGCCGTATGTTGTAATGTGATTCAGGAAGTCATATGTTGTAATGTGCTTCAGGAAGTCATATGTTGCAATGTGCTTCAGGAAGTCATATGTTGCAATGTGCTTCAGGAAGTCATATGTTGCAATGTGCTTCAGGAAGTCATATGTTGCAATGTGCTTCAGGAAGTCATATGTTGCAAAGTGTTTGGAAAGTTAGATGTTTATGAGACAATATAAATCTCTGCCACATAAGTGTAAAAGTTTTATATTCCATCCCGTTCTCATAACCAATGGCCAATGGCTCGTTAATCGAGACGATAAACCCCTTGTTTACGACAAGCCATCCTCCAGGCCATGACATAAATCAAATAATAACCTACTAACAGAACGAATCTTTCATACGATATAATTAAAAACAAAATCTATACTATAAATTAGTATTATTATTATGGGTTCATGCATAGTTAGACTTAGGGAAGGTTAGGTTAGGTTAGGTTAGGTTAGGTGATGTGGTTACGTTTTATGGGTTCATGCATAGTTAGACTTAGGGAAGGTTAGGTTAGGTTAGGTTAGGTTAGGTTAGGTTAGGTGATATGGTTACGTTGATTTGGTGAGTGTGTTTATAGAACCCGTCCTCGACTCAAGTCCATTACATCCAGCGGTCGACCCCACAGACGCATTCATAAAGTTTTACATGCTGTTCAATCAAAACTGGAATGTTCCCAATTATAAACTAATATTATACTATATTAGCATAGTGTGCATATATAGGCATAGGTTAGGTTAGGTGTTT